GCACCTACTACACATCCAGACACTGCATCCACTATACACACACACTGCTTATATTTTCCTCACACACTCTCTCTGCATTCACTATACACATACAGACACCTTGCATCCTCTACACACACACACACACACACACACTGCCTTCACTATAAACACACTGCATTGCTTTTACTGATCTTTGTGGTGGGACTCTGGGGTGGACCCTGTGGGCAGACATGGGGTCCTTGGGCTTTGCTAGGGACCCCAGAATTTCTGATGGCCTTTCTAAATAGACCCTAAGCAATTTTATACGTTTTGTAAGAAGTATTTTATTTTATTTGAAACATATGTTGTAGACATTCCTGTTATACATAGGCCCCACACAATTTTGCTAAAGTGTTTGATATTATAAAATGTCGATGACCATTTCTTTCCTGTTACGTGCTGGCTTTATTCCTGGCTCTGTTAATAGCAGCCAGTTAAATTGGAAACAGCACACATCTTTTTACAGACTTACAAGTGAAACTCAGATTAGCAATTTTGTTATATTTTGTCCCCTTTGTAAATTACCCCTTTATTGTCCAGGATTCATAGTTTCACCACTAGCTACCTCTAAGCTTTATACACGTGTCCAAACTCAGAATCTATGAAATGCATAAGATTCCTATATTCAGCAATGCATGGGGTTTTTTTTAAACATAAAGCAAAAATGGAATAGTATCTATATGATAAATGTTGTGCAAGTCAAGCACATTTAGATTGCTGCACGTGGATTCCTAAAATAAATGAATTTATTTAAAAAAATATATCCAGTTTTACTTATTGATTCTTTACAGAAGCTTTGGAGAGACAAAAGAAACATTTTTATCTTATCGCTAATCTAAAATTATTTGAACAGAATGTTAAATATTTTAGCCACAAAATGTATTTGGAAACAAAAATAGGTAAGGAGTAAGTTTGGGGAACCTGTTGGAATTGTTTGTTTGAAATGTAAAAATAATTCCTGTTTGTGGAAAAAATGCCAGAATATTGTTTGCATATCTTCATTATGAATCTGTTTTATGAAGGCTGTACCTATTGTACTGAGAGTACTATTTCCTATATGTCTGCTAACAAGCACTCGTGAAGTTTGCCCTACAAAATGTTGTGTACTGTGTATGTGGTAGACTTATGAGTCTTTATTGGCTAAATTTGTTTTACATTAGTTTGAAATGTAAATTGAAAGTTAGTTAAAGCTCTTGTTGACAGCAAACATTTAACCGAGAATCCAGTAGGATATTCTAGGAGCTCATGTTTTTTTTTTTTTCTTAAATCAGTTAGTACTTTAAAAGTTATGAGGTTGAGTTTGTCCCCTATGATCACCTATAACTTGTAATTGTCTCGTTTCCCTCTGTAAAGATTCTAACAAAACATTATCTTTCCTTCACAGGCAAAAGAAAACATTTTGAGGAGCTCTTACAGCAGTTGGGGATGGGATACACCGCACATTCAAAGCTCACACTGAAGAGAATTCTGAATATAGGGAAAGAAAATTACGTAGACATTAATTCTCAAAATGTACAGGATATTCCTTGGAATTTCTTAAATAAACTCCTGGCTCTAAACAGAACTGCCAGAAACACTCACTGTGATAAATATCCACATAATCGGGGACCAAGTGAACATAACAGTTTAGATACAATAATGTCTACGATTTTTTATACTAATGGTGAAAAAGATAACTCTTCTTCTCTTAATCCCCTAGATGTTTTATGTGTTCTACTGCATTGCTCTGATACTTTTCTGCAGCAGGAAATTGTTTTAAAAATGTCCATGTGCCAGTTTGCTGTTCCTCTGCTGCTACCTGCCAGTGATTCACCATGTTGCATGCTTATGTTATGGGCATTGAGAGATATAGTGAAAAGGTGGAGACCTCAGTCATTAGCCGCCAGGAAAGGGTTTATGGAAGAAAATGTGGTGAGCATTCCTATGTCAATCTACTCTTTTGTCAGACTTGGGAAAACCAAACTATCTAAATCCAAAATCCTAAATCAGGTTCTTAGCCCAGCTCAGCAGAACCTAGACTTCTTCATTCATGACAACATGCATGGAGGTAACATGGAAAGAAAGATATCTAACGGTCTAGTGGAAATGTCCTGGTATTTTCCTTCTGGTAGCGAAAGTTCTGACATTTTCCCAGAGCCCCTCGCAGTGACCAACCTACGAGGAGAGCTGGAGTCTAACTGGACACAGTTCATCTTCCTAACCCGGGTATCATCAGCTGTGTTTATATTTACTGAGAGCATCGGGGAGAGAGAATTCAGACTGTTATCAAACATTAATAGCAAAGACACAATATACTATTTTATTATCACCCCTAGATCCAGGGAAGATGTAAACATGGAGACACGTGAAAATTTGCAAAAATTAATATCTGTTCTAAAGCTTGATATAATAAATATAATATTAAAGAAAAATACAGACAATGATACAGCTCTGATGAAAAGAATTCAGTCATGTATTCATTTTTCTTTAATGAACAATCCCAAAAGAACAACAATGCAAAGTATGGAAAAACAGATCGACGGACTTGATATTTGTGTGGATGAAAACTCTGAGGAATGTCAAAAAGCCAGAGAACATGTATTGGAAATAACTGGAGAAATCAAAGATGTGATACAGTATAAGAAAGAAACAATGAGTTTACAGGGAGATCTATGGAAACAAGTGTCACAAATAGAAAAAGAAATGTGCAGAATGAAAAACCAAGGAACAATGGATACACAAATATATCAAAGTGAACTCAGACGCCAACGCATTTCACTGCGTGAGAAGCAACATGATCATGACTTACCCAAGGGAATAATGTTGTTTATTAATGCTATTGTTTATTTGTCACAGACAGAAAAACAATATTTTTTAAAATGGATGAAATTTGAACTTGATTCCATAGCTCGGGATAATCTGTCAACACTACAGGCAGAATACAAGGAGAAATATAACAATCCACAGAACAATAAAGAAGAACTGAAACATTTAGATCAAAAAATATCTGACAGCTCATTGGGAATTGAACATTTCCTGCGTGAAATGGGACAATTTTATGAGGCAGAAAATTCTTTGTATAGTGCGAAAAAAAATCAGGATTACAAAAAACAGTTTATGAAACTCCCTAAAATAGCAGCTGACCTCTTGTGGGGTGGGTTTCCATTGGAGCTGATTGATGGAGATGCCTCCAACATCTCCCTACAGTGGATAACTGATGTCCTGACTGAGCTGGACACCAAGACAGGAGGACGATGCAGAATGAGAGTGATCACTGTGCTGGGAGTTCAGAGTACGGGGAAATCCACCATTCTGAACACCATGTTTGGTTTGCAGTTCCCAGTGGCCAGTGGACGATGCACACGAGGGGCTTTCATGACACTTATTAAAGTAGAAGATGACTTCCAGGAGGAGATGGGCTGTAACTTTATTCTGGTTATTGATACTGAAGGTTTGAAAGCTCCAGAATTGGCTTCTCTGGAGGACAGTCATGAACATGACAATGAATTAGCAACGTTAGTAGTTGGGCTGAGTGATATCACTTTAATTAACATGGCCATGGAGAACACTGCAGAAATGAAAGATATTCTGCAGATCGTGGTCCATGCATTTCTTAGAATGAAAGAAATAGGAAAGAAACCCAAATGCCAATTTGTTCATCAGAATGTGAGTGATGTGTCCGCTCATGAGAAGAATGCAAGAGACCGAAAGAAACTGCTAGAGCAGTTGGATGAAATGACTAAAATAGCTGCAAATATGGAAACAAAATATGGAATAACAAAATTTAGTGATGTGATGGACTATGACATAGAAAATGACAGCTGGTACATCCCTGGCTTGTGGCATGGAGTTCCACCCATGGCTCCCGTTAACTCTGGGTATAGTGAAAGTACTTCTGTACTTAAAAAATATTTATTGGATTTCATGAAAACATGTAAGTCTATAAACAAATCTATGAACATTCAAGAATTTATCACATGGATAAACAGTTTGTGGAATGCAGTGAAACATGAAAGATTTTTGTTCAGTTTCAGAAACAGTCTGGTGGCTGAAGCTTATAACAAGTTGTCCATACAGTTCTCTCAATGGGAATGGGACTTTACCAAAGCCGTGCACAGCTGGGTGATTAACACAGAGACACTGATTAGGAATCAGTCCGCAGATAAATTAAATAATGAAACATTTTCCTGTTACAAGAATAAGCTGAACGAGATACTGTTTGAGGAAGAAAACAAACTGTCAGAGTCACTAAAAAGGTATTTTGAGAATAATTCTGAAAATGTACATCTTATCGAAAAATACAAAAAAGATTTTTTTCTGAGTGTAGAATTTCTAAAAAAGGAACTTGAAAGGAATGCCATTAACAAGTGTAATGAAGCTTTCCATATCCAGAAAGGGAAGTTTGAGATTCAGGGTATCCAGAATAAATATCAGAAAGTGATTGAAGATAAAGTTATGAATCTTCTGCAGATATGCAGGGAGAGGAATCATCAGATTAGTATTTCGGAACTAGAGGGGCAATTTGAGGCTATGTGGGGGATAACGATCTCAGATTTACAGATTGATAATTTAAAGAGACGTGATATAAATCAATCGGTTCTACAGCAGCTACGCAATAACACGAGCAACAAAGGTTCGGAAATAAATAATGTATTACTAAAAGTGACAGATTTACATGAACATGAAAACACAGAATTTAGCTTCAAGAAACATTATATTGATGACTCTTTTTTAAAAAAATTCATCAAGTTTTTTACCAAACAAGAATATTCTGAACAGGTATCAGAGTTTGCTAAATCATTGATTGAGATGTGTGCTCAGTATGTTACAGAGAAAGTCAACATCGCATCCGACTATGATGACACTTACTGTCAGGAACTGTTACGTTTGATCGATGAAAAACTGGAGAATAAGGATATTAAAAACTGCACACTTCCTCTACGTTTATGCTGGATATAAAACTTTTGATAACTAGAAGAGCTGCTCAGAGGTTTCAAAGGATGCATGATAATTACATCCAAGAAAATGACACAAACACCTGTCTAGACAGGTTAAAACCTCAGTATCTTGCAATGTTTCTAAGCATTTACCAAGAGAAAGACGAAAGCAAGGCGAGAGCAAAGGACTTTTGTGATCTCTGCCTGAAACCGGCTTTAACGGAATACATTTACAAACATCTCGGACAAGAAATAGTGGACGATGTCTTAAGCAGTTCAGGCAATATCATATTTAAAAGTCGATCCTTCTTTCAAGCTACGGTGCTGGAGAGTCTTTCAGGTACTGAAGAATTTAGCAATTATATAAAGTACATAAATTCATATGAGCGTTTTTTACAAAGCTGGATATTCACACACATCTCAGATAAATACAATAAATCGTCACAATTAGAAACGTTACAAGAAAATATACTCTTTGAGATTGTTAAAAAAATCAAAAATGTTCTTAGAGAAGAAAAATGTCTGAACTGTTCATCTATCACAAACCTTTTAGAATACATTTGTAAAGAATTAAAAAAGGAATTGGTAATTTCACAGAGTGAGATGTATATGATCGCTTTTGGGAACAATGCGGATGTGGAGCAGTTTTCTGGTGACATTCAGACTTTTCTTTCAGAAACAGAAACAGAAATCCTATCTGAAGTGAAATATTTGGATGTTGAATCCATTCTCTCCAAGGTCACACTGAAGCCACAGGATGAATTGCTGAAGAAGGTGATGGGATGTGGGGAGCAGTGTCCGTTCTGTAAAGTCCCCTGTGAGGCTGGGGGTGTCGAACATTCCCATCATTTTGCATCCATTCACAGACCTCAAGGATTGGGAAAATACAGAAATGTATACACCAACATTTTAAACAAAAACATATGCTCTACCAATGTTGTGTCCAATGGAAGATTTAGAAATGCAGACACAAAAGAGGAATGGCACCCATACAAGGAATATCGTACACTTTACCCAGACTGGTCGATCCAGCCAGATCCCAGCATTGAATCCTCTGATTACTGGAAATATGTTTTTGTGAAGTTTAATGAGCAGTTTGCAGCAGAATATAATGCCGAACCAGCTGAACTGCCATGGGAGTGGACACAAATAAACAAAGAACAAGCGATACAGAGCCTGAAGGATGCATTTAATGTGAAATAATAAAAGTACTGTTCAATAGTATGACATTATTCATTGCATTGAATGTTAGCTTAAGGGATATGCAACAGCCTAATAATATATTTTCTGTTGTGGCAGAGAAATGATACAATATTTTTTACAATATTTAGAGGGAACAATGTTTACTATTCAGAATGAATAATGTGATTTCTTTATAATATAATGATAATGCCTCGTTATGTTACAGTTATAGTGTTTAGCAAAAGAGAAAGACAGATGTTGGAGGGAATGTGATGAGATGGGTACCGTGTTACACATTTGGTGGTATTACCCTAAACTCTGGAGTGATATTCATAAACTCGGGCTCTTCAACATTTTTCCAGAATCTGCTAATAAAGTAGACAGGGTAATAATAGGACATATTCTTATGGCCGCCACATCCTACTTTCCCAGATATTGGAAATCCCCCTCCGATACCCTCAATAGTTGATGTTCTAATGTTAGTAGTAGAAAACAAATCGTATGAGATGGCTATTAGACAGCCACCTTTATTATGGGATCAGCTTCATTATTTCTGGAATATTATTTCGTTTATAATTCAAGATATTCAAACTGGAAATTATTAGTTGTACAAACTTGTTTTATTCATTTTACTTAGATATATTATAATTGTTTTATTATCACCGATAAATATAGACATATCAATATTGCACAAAAATACTGTAAATTCGGATGGATACTTCCCCCAAGTTTCCCATTCCCATTTTTTTTCTTTTATTATAGTTCATTAAATTATTGTCATTTTTATTTTATTATAATATTAAATACCTAATAAAAACTATTTGAAAAGAAAGCTCCACTGCACAAAAAAAATAAAAAATAAAAAAACAGACTGTTTTGACAAAGTTATATTTTGCTATGCTACATAGTTACACGGTAATTGAAGATTATATTAGCTTTAGTGTACTAATAATCTTAATTTTAGTAATGACAGGAGGCGAATATTTGCATATCTTTCTTTACTGAAAACTCCAGCAGCATAGAAACATAACAACCAATCAGAAAAAAGTTATGATGCCCATAAAAGGCCCTGTCTATGACATCACTTCCTCTTTCTTTGAAGCGAAACAATAAATAACAACAACAACATATTACGTCAACAGTTCAACAACATATTAGAATATCCAACTCCATTAGTTCCGCGATGCAGAGGTATGGAAGGTGAATCTTTGTCTCGATGAGAAGACCTTCACGCTGCAAGAAAAAGAAAAAGGTATCTGGCATGATAACTTATCCGCATACAATAAGCATTAAGCATCTGATATATCAACGAACATTAGAATGTGAAACATATCAATATATATTTATTCTAACGCAATGATATTTAAGAATCTATAAACATAATGCAAGGTTCATGTCTAATATTCAGCCAATACAAGACCCACAAGATACAGGTCTAAGTAGCAAACATACAAACCATACGTACTTACCTTCCTGAACATAAAGGACATATTCTGTTCAACACGAGAAACATGGGAGGGATCCTATAGGGTGGGAAATATTCCCCTCCTGTCAGTACTAAAATTAAGATTATTAGTACACTAAAGCTAGTATAATCTTCAATTTTACCACATGACAGGAGGCTTCATATTTGCATTTTTAAAGCTTTGAATTGACCAATGTGAAGGAAGCATGAGATGTTTGCCGAAAATAGAACGTTCTAAACGTACTCTCTCGCGCTCAGTCCGCGCAGCGTATAATGACGGCTAGGGAAGCGTCGGCTGAAAAGGTTTGTGAGGCCGCTGCTCCCCTGACCGAGTGGGCTCCGAAACAAGGTTCGACACTAAAGACAAAAACCAGCGGACCCATCTGGCCAGTGTTGCGGTAGACACTGGTCCATGAGGGTTCACGTAAGAAGTCAGAAGGTGATCCGTCTAATGAGTTCGAAGGGGGTAGAGATATTGGTGTACCCCATTAGCGTTCTGACCACGCATAGTGTGGCGTCTGACACAAAGCATAGGTATGACACTGAAGACGAATCAGACTTAGTTCGTCTCGACATGGTAAAGGTAACCCCGACTGGTGTGAGAGAGAAACCATCCATATCGCAAGCCCTAACGTCCGCCACCGTCTAAATGAGGCGAGGCATAATAAGAGGGCTAGTTTGGCTGAAAGTTGCTTCAGTGATTGTCCGGCCATTCCCTAAGGAATCTCAGCACCACATCCACCCGCCAGAGGCGTGAATATTTGGGTGCAGGGATCTCGACAATTCGGCACCCTGCAGTAGTCGACAAACCAGTGTATCTTGACCTACTGGTCTGCCCTGTACCAGAACATGCGCCGCCTATATGGCGGATCTGATCACGTTGAGGGATCGATATGACCGACCCAACGAGACCAGGTGTGACAGATAGTTGAGTATCAGTGGGACAGGTGTGGTAAAGGGATCGGAATCCCTTTCCACACACCAATCACTCCAGGCCGACCAGGCAGAAATATAGCCTTTCCTGGTGCCGGGAGCCTATGAGTCCCATAGGAGGTCTTAGTTGATGCAATAGGTCGTGAACTGACCAGGAGCCCCTGAAGCTGTCCAGGCAACTAGAGCCAGTTGTCCTTCCATGACAAGGGAGTGGGCTTCCCCTCGAGGTCCCGTCAGAAGTAGAGGGAAGGTAGGGAGTAGTAGAGGGTCTTCACGAGACATCTCCAGGTGATCCGGGAAATCACGGTTGGCCCTGCCCGAGGGGTGTCATGAGCAGGAGCGATATCTTGTGGGTGTGTGTATTGAAGCACCCTTGCTATTGTGGAGAACGGCTGGGTCGCGTTTGCAGGGGTTCATCCATCGCCCCGTATCCGAAGGAAGAGTCAAAGATCGTTTTGCCAATCCAAGTTTGTATGTGAAGTAATCACCATCGAAATTCCATCCTCACTTCCGCTGACAGTGGGATCCAGTGGTCATATGAGTGACCGGTGCGTACGTATCTCACCATCAGTCGTAGTGGGCCAGGGAATAACGCTTGTATGGAGGAGGAGAGGAGGAGAGGAATCCCACAATCCGACAGCTATCCTTATAGAGGCGCTCTTTGCCGTAGACGGACGCGGAACGTAGTTCTCCAAGCCGATGTCGAAACCGAGGAACTGGCCCGATTCAGATGGAGAAGCGATCTTTGTCTGTGTACAACAAAAAACCCATGGAGTCCCGAAAGTGAACGACAAATTTGTCTGCAAACGTAGCCTGGATTCGTAAAGAATCAGCAAGTCTTCCAGGTATACGAGGCATCGCACGCCCAAATTTACGGATGTGTGCCCTCACTGGTTACAGTAGGTTTGCGAGCACCACGGAGTCGTAAACTGCCGTGTTTGTCCTCACCATTGGAATCGGAGGAAAACTTCGGCAGTCCAGGGCAACGGGTACTGACAAGCGTGTGTCCTTGAGGTCCAGATGTGTAAACCAGTCGTTATCGCCTAGGAGGTCTTGTAGAAGACGAATTTCCTCCATCTTGCAGCATTTGTATACCATGTAGGAGTGCCATTGATGTAGTCTCCTGGCTTCTTCTTGACCAGGAAAAATTTGCTGGGGAAGCCTTCCCCTCCGGTGCATGTTGAATTGCGCCCCTCCTGAAGAGGGTGCAGATTTTCTTGTCCACGAGGCGTTCCTGTTCCGCCAGCGTGCGTAATGGAGGTGAAGGGGCGACCTGCACGGCTGTGATAAAACTCTATGACATAGCCTTGTACTGTCTGGAGAACCCAGGTGACTTTGGTAGTCGTCTCCCAATTCTGTAAAACAGAGACAGGTTGCCGGTCATAATATTGGAAACAGTTAGTTATGTAGGTTGACACACTAGTAGATGAAGCGGATGGGTTCCTTTGTGTAGTAGATGGGAGAAATATGAGGACTGTGTATACGATCTGGAACCTGTCGCCCAGAAGCGGCTGGTCGCTTGGTTCAGCTACCGACCAGTCCTCCCAGAAACACCTTTCCCCGTAGGGTTGTGGAAGACTTGTTTTAGCGAGGTCTGGGTTTAATTTAGTGTGGTGAATATATTCACGTGTTTCTTGAGTACTGCAATGAACACTACGTCGAATAGTAGGCCTTGTGCTTTTGGGCCGAATTCTTGTCGTTCCTAAGTCCAATAGTGTGTTGTCGATGCGGCCCAGTACAGATTTGCGTCTGTCGGCGCATAGTGCGTCATTTACGTTGCCCAGGAGGCATATTGAGCATTGAGACCATTCTTTGGAGGTGGTAGGGTTGAGTTGTGTACCCTGGGGTAACTCGGTCTTGAGGCATGCGCATCCTTCCATCCCCTGAGGGTTGCGCAGCCAATAGTGTTCGTCCAGGAACGTTCCGTCTTCGGCTACTCTGGTTTAGTGCCGCTACAGTTATCTTTGCCTCAGCCGCCGTCACAGAGTAAGGTTTCCCTAACGTACTTCGAGGAAGTGTGGGGAAGGTCTTGCCGTTCCATTTCCTCAGACGGTGAGCTGTCTTCGTGTCGCTCATCTACCATGTCCAAAGTACGTGGTGGGTAATAGTCTTCTTTGTTGGAAGATTGTGGCGGACGGGGTTTGGATTCCCGGTGCTCCGCCTATTTGGTCTGTTCGATGGGCGTCTTGCCCTTGACCATAGTGGCAGGGGGGGCTGGAGCCCTTCCCTTGCCGTTTTGACTTGAAGGCTTGTGGGCCTGAGGTCTCCATCAAGCGATGTGGGGTAGAGTTCATAACAGAACCTTCTCCACTGAGGCCGTTACTGTGGCGTTTATCATTGCCTAGAAATCTTGGGAACGTTGAGAGTGTCCACCATGACTCGTTCCCGTCCTGTTGGGAGATAGTGTGAGGATCAGCACGTAGGGGTGTTAGACTCCTGGTAGAACTGGGGATCACCCAGGTAAAACGGTTTGAATTGCCTGCTTTAGTATGTCTGAGAGTATGAATACTCGTGCCAAGTGTAGAGGGGTCACCTCTATTAGTTTAATCTGGCTACTGAGAGCCGTGGTGCAGGCGCGACTGACTGGTAGTGGTGTCGGTCTGGCTAGCCGGGTTCACCACAA